CCTTCCCAGAGCAGCCTCCTTGGGCCACCATCCCCCCCCCACCCCTGAGCCTTGTTGTGGGCATGGTCATCCTTGGAGCTGTGGTCACTGGAGCCGTGGTCACTGGAGCTGTGGCTGGAGCTGTGATGTGGAGGAGGAAGTGCTCAGGTAGGGAAGGGGTGGGGCCTGAGTTTCTTGTCTCACTGGGGGTTGCAAGCCCAGGTAGAAGTGTGTTCTGCTTCATTAAGGGCAAGTACCATCCCCACACGTGTGGTTGCCCAGTGTGGGGCCCTATTTGCTGACACTCACTCTTTAGTAAGACACGTGTGGAAATGAGGGACAGATTCATCACCTGATGATTCTAGTGATGGGGCCTGGTTCCCAGCACTCCCAGGTCAGGGTGGAAGGTCCCTGCTGAGGACAGACCTCTGAGAGGATGGTTGGTCCAGTCCCCACACGTGTAGTTTCCTCAGGTTTCCTGATCCTGCCCTGGGTTTATAGTCACAGATCTAGAAACTTCTCAGGGCTCCAGGACTAGGAATTCCTTTAGGTCATAGTGGTTCTCAACCTTCCTAATGCCACGACCCTTTAGTACAGTTCCTCATGTTGTGGTGACCCCCAACCATAAAATTATTTTCGTTGCTACTTCATAACTGTAATTTTGCTACTGTTATAAATCATAATGTAAATATCTGATATGCAGGATGTATTTTCATTGTTACAAATTGGGTCCTTCAACCCCCAAAGGGGTCGTGACCTACAAGTTGGGAATCGCTGCTTTAGGAGCTCATGGCCCTGCCTCCTCCCTGTCTTCTCACAGGATGTTTTCTTCCACAGGTGGAAAAGGAGGGAGCTATACTTAGGCTGCCAGTGAGTATGGAGGGGTGATCTCTGAGACCGTATGACAGTGCATAGGGGAGCCCATGGGGGACCTCAGCCCCATAGTTCCTCCTTTAGTCCCCTCTCCTGGGGGCTCTGACCACTTCCTGTTTTGTTCTACCTCAGGCAGCTACAGTACCCAGAGCTCTGATCAATCTCTCTTGGCTTTTAAAGGTAAAACCCCGATGTAACGAGGGGACAGGTCTGGGTGATGGGGATTCTTTGGGACATAGTGAGCCTGCATGGGTTGTTGAGAATGTCACCACTTACCGCCACAGAGCTGAATATTTCATGATCATTTTCTTCCACAGCGTGAGGCACGTGCCTTGTGGGGGAACCAGTGATGGGAGATTTGTTCGAGCTCCTACTTTGTGATTCAAGAACCTCTGATTTCCTTCTGCAAATGGCATTTGAATGTGTGTGTTCCCATCAGCATAACGTGAGGAGGTGGGAGGCTGGCCCACACCTGCCCACCACTCACCCTTCTCACACTTTCCTGTCCATCAGAGCCCGGCTGGGCCCTCCCCATCCCTGTCTTTACTTTGTGGTGCTCAGTGGGGGACTGAGTCATGCGACGTTTGTCCATACTCCCACTTTGTGACTCAAGTGAAAGGTTAGCATGGTGATACGTGGGCAGGCTACATAGCCATCTGGAATGGAAATTTTTAAAAAAAAGAATTTATTTAAGGAAAGAGGGTGGGGGATGGGATACTCAAAGGGAAGGGCTGCACAGCACCGAGCCAAGTGGAGGTTGGGTGGATGGATGATGGCAACACCCAAGATGTGGAGTTTCATCCTTCTTTGCAGTCACTGGCAGGAAACTCTGGTCAGTGGGTCTGGGGGCTGAATAGGTGGCTTGGAATGGGGATAGAATGCAGTTGTGGGATCAGGTGTCTTTTGGAAAATTTCAGTTGCTTACATGGTCTAACTCCTGGTGTCTAGCAAGTTGTTCCTGCTCTTGCTCCCCTGTGGCGGGAAGCGTACAAATGGCCATTAAGGATTATATTGTCTGATAGCCCAAACATCAAGAACCTCTAACTTAAAAAAAAATAAATTCAGATTGGTGATTCTCAAAAACATTTAATCACTGCCTGGCAATAATACTCTACGGAAGTAGTTTTCCAGGTTATAACTTTCTGTAGAATATGTTCATTACATTCCTTCATTTGCCTGTAAGTTAACATGGTTCCAAAAGTTAAAGGCCCCAAATGAATGCGGAAGTGTTAAAATATGTGTGATTATGCACACATTTTATTTTCTGCACTACTGTTTTGTTTTAAATATTTCATTTAAAAAATTTTATTAACATTACTTGCATGTTCAATGCTTTTGTGATGTATCAATTAAAATTATTTTCAATATAAAAAATAAATGAAGAAGCTCTGATTTCTTTCTGCAAAGGGCATTGAATGTGTGTGCCTTCCTATCAGCATAACGTGAGGAGGTGGGAGGCTGGTCCACCCTGCCCACCACTCACCCTTCTCACACTTTCCTGTCCATCAGAGCCCGGCTGGGCCCTCCCCATCCCTGTCTTTACTTTGTGGTGCTCAGTGGGGGACTGAGTCATGCGACGTTTGTCCATACTCCCACTTTGTGACTCAAGTGAAAGGTTAGCATGGTGATACGTGGGCAGGCTACATAGCCATCTGGAATGGAAATTTAAAAAAAAGAATTTATTTAAGGAAAGAGGGTGGGGGATGGGATACCCAAAGGGAAGGGCTGCACAGCACCGAGCCAAGTGGAGGTTGGGTGGATGGATGATGGCAACACCCAAGATGTGGAGTTTCATCCTTCTTTGCAGTCACTGGCAGGAAACTCTGGTCAGTGGGTCTGGGGGCTGAATAGTTGAAGTGGTCACTCCTCAGCTGGGTCATCTCTCTGCTCCTTTTTTGAAAAATATGTTTTTATTGATTTCAGAGAGGAAGGGAGAAGAGAGAAATAGAAACGTCAGTGATGAGAGAATCATTGATTAGCTGCCTTCTGTACTTATTGACTCCACAGTTGATTCCAGGTGGCATACTGCCACAAACCCAAAGTATGATACAGAATTACTTCAAAATAAACAGAAGGCCCTGGCCAGTGTGGCTCAGTTGGCTAGGCCTGGGCCTCTGCACTAAGATGTCCCAGGTTCAATGAACCTGGTCAGAACACATGCCTGGGTTTCAGGCTCGATTCTCAGTAGGGGCTATGGAGGAGGCAGCCTATCCATGTATCTCTCTCATCCACGTTCCTTTACCTCCCTTCCTCTCTCTAAGAGAAAAAAAAAATCAGTAAAAACATCTACACTAATAAAAGAGAAACATGGTAATTGGCGTACGACCGCTACCCTTCCCATTGGCTAATCAGCATATCCTTATGCAAATTAACTGTCAGCCAAGATGGCGGCCGGCAGCCAGGCAGCTGGAAGCGAACATGAGGCTTCCTTGCTTCAGTGACTGCAGACTCCAACGTTCCCCGCCTCACTTGCC